GATTGCTCTCTTTGTCCAAAACTTTAAAACTTTAAAAGGTCAAGTCGTCATCCCATGCATAAAAGGTTTATCCGAAACAATCCAGAGGATATATCGCGGTCATGGCATAGCAACAGCCATGAAGCCCCACAAGTGTAAAAAGAACTGCTCACAATCCATACTTACCAACCTGGAGAAAATGTTTAGAAAAGATAAGTCCTAAAATAATATTTAGTGCAGATAGTGTTTTCTGCTCTATTTACAAGTTCTAAAATAATGTCTAGTTAAGGTTCATATTTTTTCTATCTACAAGTTCTTAATAATCTGAATCATCTCGTCAAGGGGTCATTTGCTTCGTACATTGTCTATGTAAACGTGTTAGCATATGTTCATTCATTTTTCATCAAGCGCCATTTGTACTGGTGTATTTAAGTTTCCCTTATACTGTTCTTTCTGAGAATCTACAGGGGTACAGGGCAAAACGATATTTTAACGTTAAACAGATAACATAGGAGAAAAATAATGATTTTGTTAATTTATCCCGCTAACACAAAACCCACTTGCTTATCATTGGGTACCCCAAATTGCCAACCGCTGGAACACTTGTCAAAGAAGCCTGTCAACACCACAAGAAAAATGAACACAAAACATTACTAAAATGTGAACAAAACCGTTATTTGAACTCAAAATTGATAAAACTAGGGGAAAATATCAACAATATTACCATTTAAACGGATAATTTTAAAAACTAATACATGGATAATAAGAACAGATGTACCGAAAGGGTATACTACTTCTGCTTCATCGACAAAACCCGCCATGTTAATTGTTTGTCAATGCGAGAACCTATGATTAATGAATATGGAAACTGTTACAAATTACAGCATAGCAGAACAGTTGGTGTTTTCATATCCATGTTCAGTAAGCTACTGAAGACCATGCCATTTTTTTGTGTCTTTTCTTTTGTATATCGATTTAAGGTTTGGACGATTTCCTTTTCTATTGACGGATGGTACATTTGTTTTTCTATATTTAGTTTCAATACACAAGTATAAATTTATTAAGTAATTATAATATATTTGAATGCATCATTAAATTTCATAAGTGAAACTTTTTTTTTTAGTCTTTCTTTTTTTTTCTTCTTTCATATCTAAGAGGTAGAATGGTTGCGCCAAAATGAAAATGTTTCTAAAAGTATGATATGATCGTACTTTGACATACACACTCAAATATAGTTTACTGAGAAAACTTGGATGCAATCAAACTGAAAGTAAATGAAAGCAATTTTAGAAAAAACGATTTATACAGTATTGCCAATAAAACCAATAGTTATATGAGAGAACGGTGATGTATTTAGATCATAGGACCACATAAACTGACACAATTTAACAATATTATGCGAATTATTATTTGCTCTAAATGTGTTCACATCATCATACTATGAATGTAAAAATAACTCTCGTCAATAGTAAAGATAAAATACATTTATTTCCAGTCAAAGAACTTTTAAACCTCAAATGTAATTATATAAGCGAACAGTGAAATAATCAAACTCTCTGGAAACTACAACGTCAACAGGTAAATGACCACAGATTTGTTGAGCTTACGCATTGTATCCGTCTACAGTTAACGGTGAAAACATAAAATGTTGAAATATTTATAGAACAATAGGAAAGTGTCAGGGTTCTCTGTTTGGTTTAACAATATCTATTAACAGTCTTAGTTAGTATATACCTCCGATTTAAGAGCGCGACAGGAATGGACATTGAAGCTAGGCTTATACGTCCGATTTAAGAGCGCGACAGGAATGGACATTGAAGCGGGGCTAATACCTCCGATTTAAGAGCGCAACAGGAATTATTAACAGTCTTAGTTAGTATATACCTCCGATTTAAGAGCGCGACAGGAATGGACATTGAGGCTAGGCTTATACGTCCGATTTAAGAGCGCGACAGGAATGGACATTGAAGCTGGGCTTAAACCTCCGATTTAAGAGCGCGACAGGAATGGACATTGAAGCGGGGCTAATACCTCCGATTTAAGAGCGCAACAGGAATGGACATTGAAGCTAGGCTTATACCTCTGATTTAAGGACAGGAATGGGCATTGTAGCTAGGCTTATGCGTCCGATTTAAGAGCTCTACAGGAATGGACATTGAAGCTAGGCTTATACGTCCGATTTAAGAGCGCGACAGGAATGGACATAGAAGCTGGGCTTATACCTCTGATTTAAGAGCGCTGGGCTTATACCTCTGACTTAAGAGCGCGACAGGAATGGCCATTGAAGCTGGGCTTATACCTCTGATTTAAGAATGCGACAGGAAGGGGCATTGTAGCTAGGCTTATGCGTCCGATTTAAGAGCGCTACAGGAATGGACATTGAAGCTAGGCTTATACCTCCGATTTAAGAGCGCGACAGGAATGGGCATTGAAGCTAGGCTTATACGTCCGATTTAAGAGCGCGACAGGAATGGACATTGAAGCTGGGCTTATCCCTCTGATTTAAGAGCGCGACAGGAATGGACATTGAAGCTAGGCTTATACATCCGATTTAAGAGCGCGACAGGAATGGACATTGAGGCTAGGCTTATACGTCCGATTTAAGAGCGCGACAGGAATGGACTTTGAAGCTAGGCTTAAGCCTCCGATTTAAGAGCGCGACAGGAATGGACATTGAAGCTAGGCTTATACCTCTGTTTTAAGAGCGCCACAGGAATGGACATTGGAGCTGGGCTTATACCTCTGACTTAAGAGCGCGACAGGAATGGACATTAAAGCTGGGCTTATACCTCTGACTTAAGAGCGCGACAGGAATGGACATTGAAGCTGGGCTTAAACCTCCGATTTAAGAGCGCGACAGGAATGGACATTGAGGCTAGGCTTATACGTCCGATTTAAGAGCGCGACAGGAATGGACATTGAAGCTGGGCTTATACCTCTGATTTAAGAATGCGACAGGAATGGGCATTGTAGCTAGGCTTATGCGTCCGATTTAAGAGCGCTACAGGAATGGACATTGAAGCTAGGCTTATACGTCCGATTTAAGAGCGCGACAGGAATGGACTTTGAAGCTAGGCTTAAACCTCCGATTTAAGAGCGCGACAGGAATGGACATTGAAGCTAGGCTTATACGTCCGATTTAAGAGCGCGACAGGAATGGACATTGAAGCTAGGCTTATACCTCAAATTTAAGAGCGCGACAGGAATGGACATTGAAGCTAGGCTTATACCTCCGATTTAAGAGCGCAACAGGAATGGACATTGAAGCTAGGCTTATACCTCTGATTTAAGAGCGCCACAGGAATGGACATTGGAGCTGGGCTTATACCTCTGACTTAAGAGCGCGACAGGAATGGACATTGAAGCTGGGCTTATGCCTCCGATTTAAGTGCGCGACAGGAATGGACATTGAAGCTGGGCTTATGCCTCCGATTTAAGTGCGCGACAGGAATGGACATTGAAGCTGGGCTTATACCTCTGCCTTAAGAGCGCGACAGGAATGGACATTGAAGCTTGGCTTATACCTCTGACTTAAGAGCGCGACAGGAATGGAAATTGAAGCTAGGCTTATACCTCCGATTTAAGAGCGCAACAGGAATGGACATTGAAGCTAGGCTTATATCTCCGATTTAAGAGCGCGACAGGAATGGACATTGAAGCAAGGCTTATACCTCCGATTTAAGAGCGCGACAGGAATGGACATTGAAGCTAGGCTTATACGTCCGATTTAAGAGCGCTACAGGAATAGACATTGAAGCTAGGCTTATACGTCCGATTTAAGAGCACGACAGGAATGGACATTGAAGCTGGGCTTATACCTCCGATTTAAGAGCGCGACAGGAATGGACATTGAAGCTGGGCTAATACCTCCGATTTAAGAGCGCAACAGGAATGGACATTGAAGCTAGGCTTATATCTCCGATTTAAGAGCGCGACAGGAATGGACATTGAAGCTAGGCTTATACCTCCGATTTAAGAGCGCGACAGGAATGGACATTGACGCTAGGCTTATACCTCCGATTAAAGAGCGCGACAGGAATGGACATTGAAGCTAGGCTTATACCTCTGATTTAAGAGCGCGAAAGGAATGGACATTGAAGCTGGGCTTATACATCTGACTTAAGAGCGCGACAGGCATGGACATTAAAGCTAGGCTTATACCTCCGATTTAAGAGCGCGACAGGAATGGACATTGTAGCAAGGCTTATACCTCCGATTTAAGAGCGCGACAGGAATGTACATTGAAGCTAGGCTTATACCTCCGATTAAAGAGCGCGACAGGAATGGACATTGAAGCAAGGCTTATACCTCAGATTTAAGAGCGCGACAGGAATGGACATTGACGCTAGGCTTATACCTCCGATTTAAGAGCGCGACAGGAATGGACATTGACGCTAGGCTTATACCTCCGATTTAAGAGCGCGACAGGAATGCACATTGAAGCTAGGCTTATACCTCCGATTGAAGAGCGCGACAGGAATGGACATTGACGCTAGGCTTATACCTCCGATTTAAGAGCGCGACAGGAATGGACATTGAAGCTAATGCAATCAAACAGTTGATTCTTTGAACTTTATTGATTGGATTAAGTGTGTTTGTGTTTTACGACCTTTTAACGTCTATGGTCATATATTGACGTGCCAGGTTTTGGTGATGGAGGAAAGCCTGAGTTCCGTGAGAAAAACCACCGACCTACGGCCAGTACCTGGCGACTGCCCCACGCGAGCCTCGAACCCGCGACCCAGTGGTGGAGGGCTAGTGGTAGCAGAATAGCAGACTCCTTAACCACTGCGACACCGCAGAGTGGGAAATTGGAATAGTCTTTCTCATTCACATCCAATTACAATAAAACTAGTTACGTCATTTCAATAACATTTTCGAATCTGCAATTCTCAGGACGATGAAGTTGCTGTTTGAAACTGTCTAGTGACAGTATCAAAGAACCTAGACGTTTTTGTTCTCCTGTGACACAATCCTTCTCCTGTGTTACTATCAAAGTAGCAAGACGTTCTCCTGTGACACTATCGGCGTACCCAGACATTCTCCCTTCCTATCTGCAACGGTGCCCCATCTGCAGTGGGTTTTATTACCGGAATAGCGTATGTACGACACACTGCATCAGGCGAAGTGAAGACGAAAAACTGACAGTTGTCGTCTTGGCGACAAAGCAGTGCGCACATAGACCGACTGTGGATCAAAACGTTCTGCAACTGAGCTCCAACGATTCCTTTTGACGGCGATTGCAACCTTGAAAATGCATTTCTCTCGACATCACTTTGACCACCAAAAGCTGTCAATAAAATAATGATATTTCCAATGATCTTGAATCCATTGATAACTAAAGATTGAAGATATAGAATGTATTCAATGGTTTTCCGTTAGACAACGTATTTATTTCACGAGTATTGCGGAATGCCGATAAGTTTCATGAGTACGAAGCAAGAGTGATCATATTGGTATATTCTACCGTATGAGAATTACTTCTATGAGAACAATTTACATTTACCTGATTACTTAAAAAACTATTAATATGAAATTTAGTATCTTCGAGAAAGATTTATTTTAATTGGTATCAAAACGATTTACATAAAACACCACGTACCTTTGAGAACGGTTTACTTAAAATACACGAGGACCTCTAAAATAATTTTGCATTGCACAGGTTCTTTTAAGAACGATTGACATAGGAAAGGTACTTGCAAGAACGACATATTTGTAATAAAAACAATAACTTTCAGAGCAATATCATTTTCTGGTGAAATATAGTTCTTATGGACCTATCATCTCGGTGTGGAAATGTTAGCAGTTTTTTTTGTTGGGTAATTTAATAGCAGCAGAAATGTTCTACCGCGAATATTTATTTACATGTTATAGATAAAAAGAATATATAGAATATATAGAGAATTAAGAGCTATTGCTAACTTGGAAATTCCCACACGGCAATAAGTTTACAAGGTCATAACGCACTACACTTCAAGTAAGTCATACAATGCATTTACAAATATAGTTATATACTTGAGGATAAACTTGAATATATATTTTTCATATTATGGAGATATAACACACAAAAAAACGGAGTGTACTCTAAAAAAACCGCGAAGCGGTTTATGCTGAAAGTACACTCCGTTTTTTTGTGTTTTAGCTCCATAACATAAAGAATATATTCAAGTCAATCCTTATAATTTAATCTACTATACACAATCCCTGTGGAAATCCACTTTTACTTTTATTGATGGACTCTTTTCTCTTAGAAATTATTACGCCGCTGTATCAGCCAATCAAAAGCGATATTACAAACGGCGACGTCATTTTATTACGTTATGGGCTGATAACATAAGTTTTTAAGCAAATGAAAATGCTTGTTACAAGCAAGATTAAATCATAAGGCAATAACCCTTCTCGCAGAGGAAAAACTAAATTTAAATAAAACAAAAAGATAAACGGACATATTAGCGCTCAAGCATAAAAGAGAGAAAAAATACATATATAAAGTGATATTTAAATGATCAGTTTCAAATTAAGAAATAAAACAAACAAATGTTTAACAGTGGGATACTTACTTTAAAAAAAGTAACTTGTTGCATCTCTAGTGTTAACTTACAGATCGCCGGCAACTCTGGACTATTCTCCAAGTGACAAAGTGCTCTAGCTTGGTTAGAGCGAAATTTACATGGAACATCATTGACAACCATGCTGTTGCCTGCATCAAAGGTGACTTCACAGCAATCTTCGCGACCCCAAGAGTTATCAGGTTGATTGTTTTCCCAGTTAATCCAGAGCTGAACATTTCCTGCAGTTGTCACGAATACCCCCTCATTAGCAATGTCGTTTAGTCCCAACACAAACCTGTAACTGTTTAAAATAAGAATGAATCTCCTTTAAGATGGAATGTAATCGACGAATAAGGTTGTATACTTAGCCGAATATTTATTATGTTAATGATCCTTCAGGTAACACAAATTATAGTTACATCACTAGCCAAGTCTACAAGTATTACGCTCCAAAGATGGCGAGAATCCTTACTTGTGCAGAGACTTTAATCCATGTTTCATTAAATTCGGAATGGAGAGACGAAATATTTGAGATGAGAATGTTATTTAAAACCTAACTACTCTGTTAATACCTCTTTCCAAAATCGATTAATTAGACTAATTAGAATGAATGAACTGAGCACAATCAAAACAGTACTGAGGTAGACGACTTTACAAAAAAAGTGTATCCATTTTTAGTAATACCAACGTGCAAACGATAACAATATTTGTTAAACCATAAATGCATATGTGCGGTATTAGTCGGATTTGGAAAAAATACTGACACAGTATCGAGATAATATTTATTTGACATTAATCCACATACTTACTGAGACATTTCCGACAATGCTGCAAACAGAAATGAGTTTGCATTGGCATCAGGTATATGGCTAAGAACGCCGCCAAGACGAGAACATGCGGCTTGCTTGGCGGAGAAAGTTTTGTCCGGTTCGATTACAACGTAGAAGCACATCTGATAATCTGGACCGTAGTACATAGCGCCTCCTACAGGGCACATTGCATCCGTCACTCAAAAAATAGAATGAATACATTTTTTTTTAAATAAATTCAGCATACCATTAAGTAGGAATGACGAAGGAATGATTCAAATAAAAAGAAAAACATAATGTATACAGTAGAGCTCACTATCTTCTTAACAATTTTTTGAATTGATAAATACTTAGAAGAAAATTATATGTGAATATTTATTAAATACCTAGTATGCACGTAAATGAAATAAGTTCGCGAAAGCTCAAGGAGAAATGTCATTTCATTTAGATTTATAGTCGTAATAAAACAGTGAAATGAACGAAAAACCGTCATATTTATTTTGTATTTCCTGTCTGGACTCGGATGATTAAATATTAAATTGATACAAAAAACGACAAATGATGTGTCAAAAAAGCCGAAATTCGGATTCGAAATTCAATAGAATCAGGGCAAGATATGAATAAAGAAACAATTTACATAGTACTCTTAACAATTTCAAGGAAATAATAAAACTTATTGCTCTGGAAGGTAGGCGATCATACCTGCCATCTAAATAAAGATCAAACACACAAGTAATGACATGTCTTTCTACCGAGACCCTTCATACTACACGAAGAAAAAGCATAAAAGCATACTTTCGATGGAGATCATGATTGTGAACATAAAACTCGTCCAAAGCCTCATTTACCTGTATCTTTTTAAATCCTGTTTTGTTACCTATGATGAATTCTTCGAAAACTATTCTTACTGTTACTTGGAAATAAATTGCCCTGAAAATAGGACGATCAGTTGGCTTTCAGTTACAAACGTAAATGACTGTCACCAGACTCTAAGTTATGATAGTACATTAATGTCATAAGACTCTCAGCTATAGCAGTTGAGTTTTGTCAGTAGGCTTTCATTTATAATTGTGAATTCCTATCACTGACTCTCGGTTACTAAAGTGGATTTCTGACAACAGGGCAATCAGTTACCATTGTAGATTTATTTGGTTAGACTTTCAGTTATATGGTGCATTGTCATACTTTTTCAATTTTTTCCGCTGTTATATGACAGGAGAGGGAATCGTGTTTTACATACCATAGACCATTCAAAATCATTAAAATGAGTTCCAAAATTGGGGTGAAAACCTTGACTATCTAGCAAAATTGTTGGTGGTACCAATTAATGTTAATCAGACTGATACGAAAGAAATGCAAGTACATCATCATATTCTGTAAGAGATTTAGAGCTGATGCTATGTGTTATTTGAGTTAATGATTTCTATATTATGATGATTTTTACTTCTTATCAACTGAAAATGCATATCTCATTTAAAGAGGGAAATACAAAAAGTTTCAAAATATTATATATGAAATTATTTCAAGGAGTTAAAGTAACTTTAAAAGCAATTTATGGTAAGAAATGTTTGGTAAACCAAACAATTACTAACCTTGAAGATGAGAAAGCTGATACAAAATCATAAGGAAGATCGCTCTCCTGGTGGACCGTAGCATGCTGTCGTCTGACTCCCGACTGTTAATAATAGTTATATCCCAACAATAACCCATCACCATTACGTACAAATATGGGCTGTGTCACGTGGTAAAGCTATTTAAGATAATCAATAAACCTCTTTATTATATGATACAGGCTATTTCCGGGCAATATTGCTATTCAATAAAAACGATATAGCACACGTACAATAAACATGCAAATGAGTCTTGTCACCATGGGAAACAGGTCATATTCCTACGCACTACAACTTCTACGTTTGTAAACATAATGGCTGAGCGAGTTACTGTTTGCATTGATAGCAGAGGCAGGGGCACTGGGAGAATAAAATAAACAAAAGAATTTTATTAAATTCAATAATATATAAACACGAGTGTTAGCTTCACACAAATTCAACACATGCATGTTCAAATTCCACTTGAACTTCTCCGACATACACACAATCAATGGCGACCACGTGTAACCGGTCAACTTCATCAGTGTTCCAGTTTCATGGCGGATGCCACAGTATATTATCGAGGTTCACATTCACCAACAACCCTCTCCAAATAAATGCGCTTGTGTTATAGAGAGTGACAATCACTCCAGCCCCTGCAAATTTTTAAAAAGTCCAGACTGCGACGTGTATTGTGATGACCTTTACATTGACAGTGCACGCGCCGTTGTGCCAAATATGTGACGTCACTGCTATTTTTGTAAACGCCAATTCGTTGAATGGTTTTCGTATAAAAAATAATTATTAATGTTGTTATGATAATTATTAAAACATTGGTTGTTGAAGAAAACCTAAATGATTGTTTGTTCATTTAAAAGCTTCTCGGGAAAAAGTTTCTGAACTATTTTTTTGTGGCGCAGCGAGCTCCAAACAAAATGTATGTAATGCGTCCTTTTGTCAGCCATCGGTACAATTTATATAGAGGAGACGTGTCAAGAAAAAGAGTGTTTCTCGAAGTATACAACAAATAGAATCTAACACGAGTGTTCATGTAATATTGAATTTATTAAACTCGTTTATTAATTTCATATGAAATTAATAAACTCGCTCAATAAATTCAATATTACATGAACACTTGTGTCAGATCCTCTATTTAAAACTGAATAGTTTGATTAAAAAAATATTTCCTGTTTTTTTGTTCCAGTTTATGATGCCTTTCTGTTTGTTTGGTGTTTCCATAGTTTCGTATCGAACTCGACCTCGGATGGAATTAGTCCTTGTGTGTTTAAACGGACTTTTTTCACTAAAATGCATGATTATTCCGTTCTAAAAACCTACAACCTTCTGTGGTGTTTTTAACTCCGATGTGGTAAAGGTAAGATTTTAAAAATGGATATCTGTTTTCAATTTGAACAAACACAACATCAGTTTTATGCAATAATATTAAGCTAGAAAATCAAAGATAGATTATTTGACTGCAAAACAATGGCAACGATGTAGGAATTGGGATGACTTCCTGTATACCAGGAGGTGTCTCGGTATAGGAATTATAATGACTTCCTGTATACCAGGAGGTGTCTCGGTGTAGGAATTATAATGACTTCCTGTATACCTGGAGGTGTCTCGGTGTAGAAATTATAATGACTTCCTGTATACCAGGAGGTGTCTCGGTGTAGGAATTATAATGACTTCCTGTATACCAGGAGGTGTCTCGGTGTAGGAATTTTAATGACTTCCTGTATACCAGGAGATGTCTCGGTGTAGGAATTATAATGACTTCCTGTATACCGGGTATGTACAGTTGTGGGATCGCATAACGTTACACGATGTGCGGTGTGCGCACGATGTGTGCACGGTGTGTGAACGATGTGTGCACGATGTGCGAACGATAAAAAGTTGGACGATCATTGCTTGCGCACATTTGTGTGCACGATGGACGAACGATGTGCGATATCAATCGTGGTTGGTGTAAATTGAGGAATGCTTTAACAATATATGCGGTTTCGTTTGTAAACAAATAAACTTGATTTTTATGTATGTTTCTATATTCTATCTACATCAATAAGCTTATCTTAATGTCTATATTTTCTTAAAATTAGAAATTGTGTTTTCGGTATTTTTTAAACGACCTTAATCGACACATGAAATTACAACACAGTCCGGTATGCAGGTAAACATAGCCACGTTGTACATGTACCTGGGCCGTAGTTTTCCCCCGCCCGGGGCGCTTACGTATTTCGTCGGGTAGGGCCAAAGGTGTGAAAACCCAAGTGAAGGGGAGCTATAGGCAAACCGAATGCAAATAACAAATACTAAACGTACGGTATCGCATATCAGCTCTATGTGTCAGGTACAGGCCAGGTAAAACTCCGGTCACTCATCAAATTGTTATTTACCTGTTCTGTTACCTTGGAGCCAAACCCATTCAATGGTCACTGTAATGCTGTGTTACACGCATTGTAAAACTGTATATAATCTTCATGACTGTGATGAGAAATTACAGTAATATAAACAGTTTTCGTTATTACATACGAGCTTTCCGTATTTTTTTTTCATTCCGTAATATTGATCTACAAATTGTACCCAATCGCACAGTTGTGCGGAGAGAAGCACACAACGGGGCGAACGATTGTTTAATCGCACAGTTGTGCGCACCATGTGCGGACGGTGTGTGAACGATGTATGCACGGTGCGCGCACGCTATTTTTGGTGCGTTGTGCGGTCACACAACTGTATCGGTGTAGGATTTAAACAATATCCTGAACATCAGGGGATGATTCGATGTAGAAAGTAGAATGGCTTACTATATATCAGGAATATTGCAATGTAGAAATTAGACTGACTTCCTAAATACCAGGGATGTCTCAGAGCAAAACTTATTAAGACTGGCACCCTGTACAATTAAATTATATCACGGTGTAGAAATTAGAATTATTTCCTGTTTGCCATAAGATAGGAATGGTAAACACATATCAGTATCACATTGAATACCCCCCTACAATGTATGCTTACTTGCTGCTTACAAGAGGCACGAACTAGGTACAAAACTGTTTTGTATATTTTTGCTAGCATGTTTTTAACTTGACTTAACTGTCGAATTGAATGATGTACATTCAGCACTACTTGAATACCTTCCTTAATACTGACAATCCGACCATGATGCTTCATAAGTCTTTAAAAGACAAGTTATCAATTTTCTTTTTCAATGGACTTAAGCTATTTTAATAAATTTCTGATGAAATCAACAAATTGTAATGATACTTTCTTGCTTACAAATTGTAAAGAAATAAAATGTCTAGACATATATTGAAATAACCAGTAGTAAAATTCTATGTTCAGTTTAACTTTGCCATACTTCTCCCCTATTTTTAAATGTGTCCGCCCTCGAGCACCACAAAAATAGCTTCTACATCCCTGTCACCACAGAAAGGCAACGGACACCTTTTGTAACAGGAATGAGAGTATTATGATTCCAATGGGAATCCAACCAGCAACCCGAGCTTTTCAGTCCGCCGCTCTACCGATTAAGCTAAAGGGAATTCTCTCTAGCGCGACTTTAAAAGGCAAACGTGATCCTATGTACAATCAAAATATGCCAAACATATATTCTGATGTAAATCTTTGGTCGGGGTAAATAAAGACATTTTTTGTTTCTGCTTTGGGAAAGAAAGGGGAATATTTTTCATAGTGAGTTCAAATGGTCACCGTGAATTTTACTTTAGGCTTTTGTGTATGTCAAGGTACGAAAACAAATGAGAATAATTTTATTGTTGGCTAGACAACATGTTTATGGTTGATGGTAAGTCACGTAATTGTTGTACACAGCGTGGCAGCATCTTAGAGTTAGATTTTCAAAGCACCGTCAAAAAAACATAAAACATCCTGATATCATGATTTTAAAAATTCAAAAACTTAGTTAATAAAGTGTAAAATAACACATTATGTGGTTTTAAAAGGACATTAGTACAATTGATATATATATATTGACGTATGCGTTGATAAAGTATTTCAGGTAATTAATGAATTCTATTTTTCATTGAATGGTACCATTAATATTTGCATGAAAATTCCATTAAAACACTTTTCCAGTGTGATTTCTATGCTAATGGTGGAGTATTTGTGATATGCAATGATAGAACCTGAATACCTACCGTATTCAAAATATCAGTAAAAAATAAAACAAAGCACGCTTCATCCGCTTAAATGCTATCGCGTCAGTTTTTAATATATTCAAATCAATTGAAAGCATGTCTACTTTCCTATCTCTAGTTTTCATTCCGTATTGAAATCAATCTTTTGTACTTGGACAATCAAAATGCAAATGTATGTGTCATTACATTGTGGTGTCCTTATTGATATATTGACACCATATGTTCCGTATCTGTTTAAGTTTAGTGGGAGGCCACAATCGTACGGAAGATTTGGTCCAAGCGCTTCCAAACTCTGGCAGCCTCTAATATTATATTTCATCAGCTTGGGGGACTGAAATATTTGAAATTTGGAAGAAGATTTTGAAGTTTAATTAAATAATGAATATAAGTGTAAAGCATAATATGTTTTCTCGATATAATAATAATATTATCAACTATCACAAGATTCCTTTTTTTCCTTAAAAACTAAAATGAACCAAAAAGACCACTGAGGAAATAAATTAATGTTTTTGTTTAGTTTGCTTCTCTACAGCCCTCTTGCTTTTCATTTGATACCCCTAAATTTCCAACCTCTGGTGAATGCCATGAAGCAGCCTGTCCACATCACAAGAATTCTAACTAAAAATTGATAAAAAAAAAAGGGAAAGATAACAACAGTGAAACGATTTCAACGAAGTAAGTTTTTTTAAATGCATGGAGAATAAGAACAGGTGTTACGAAAGGGTATACTACTTCTGTTTCGTCGACGAAACCATTGTGTGTCAAACCCACGTCTTCTACGGTGACGTATGTATCACATCTTAATAAACATGATTGTATTCATGAGTAAATCATTATTCGGTGTTTCCTATTTTTCTACCTTTCATTCTGCGGAAGACTACGCCAATCATTGGCAAAATGATAGTATGCTGAATTGGATTC